GCTTACCCAGTGATCAGATCGGTGAATACCCTGTCATCACAGAGCTTTTCTCCAGTGATGGGAGCAGATACAGAGGTCCACAGCCAAACACCAGGCAGAGCTCCAGAAGTCCAGTCAAAGAGAGAGAGAAGAGGAATTCTATGAGCAAGTGCATCAGGATCATGATGGGGAAACCTGCAGAGAAAACCAAACCAAACTAGAGGGAACTTAAAAAAGTTGGATCAATGGCTGTGGGGCCTGCATGGGACTGGACTAGGCCCTCTACATGGGAGACAGTTGTATAGCTTGATCTGCTTGGGAGGGGGGAGGGGTCCCTGGTAGTAGGATCAGAATCCATCCCTGGTGCATGAGCGGGCTTTTTGGAGCCTACTACCTATGATGGGACACCTTGTGCAGCCTTAAGGCGGGGGGAAGGGCTTGGACTTGCCTCTACTGGATGTACCTCCCCATGGGAGGCCTTGCCTTCTTGTAGGAGGGTTGGGAGGGGGAGGCTGAAGGAGGTGGTAGGAGGGCAGAGGGGGATCTTTGGTGTGTAAAATGAATGAAAAAAAATTTTATGAAAAAAAAGAATACTAAACAGGCACTAACTTGAGAGGTAACTTACTGTTTAAAATTGAGCTGCCTCCAGTTAGGGGAGAAAAAATAGTTACTAGTCAGAGAACATAAAATCAACCTGCCATGGCCCTAGGATGAGAAATTTTCTAGGAAGACAGCCATGGAGAGCAGGGGAATGAAAACTCCAGGTCAAAAGGTATAGACAATGTGAGTCTCTGCTCAGATAGAGAGGTGCAGAGAGAAAGATCACTCACTCACAGTAGTCAAGGGCACAGTATGAGAAAACTCTGAAGTTGGATAACATTGAGCCTAGAGATTAATAGATAGCTAGGAGCCTTCAGCCAGCCACCTGCTATTTGGTGCTATAAAGTTTGATAACACTGAAACCCCAGTAGAAATTTTAATGCATGCAACTAGATCCTCCCAGCAAGATGATCAGTAATTATAGGGTTTGGAAATTGCCAAGTCCTCCACCCGTGTCGATCTTTGTTTTGTGTTTGTTTTGCCCATCCCCAATGCTCATAGTATACATCATACTCTACCCACCAAGAACATGAGCTACTCAAGGAAATATGATCTGGAGAATGTCAAAAGAGTCTGAGACTAGTTCTCAGACTACAAAGGTAAGTGTGGCCAGCAGAGGCTCCTAACATGCAAGGCAGGGGAGCAGAGGAGTAGTGAAGTCAGAATGGATGTAGTTCACATAGGCGTTTGTTCAATGCAGGATCAGGGCCAGCCTGGACCACAGGAAACAGCCCATGAGTACATTCAAACCTCTTCCTTCTGCATATGGAGCGGCAATTTCAGCTTTGTCTGTGTGTCTGTCTGTATCTCTCTTTTCTCCCCCACTCTGTATTCTTTTCTCTGTGTTTCTCTGTCTCTGGTTTTCTCCCTTTATCTCTCTGTGCATGTTTTTCTCTTTCTCTCTCTCCTTGCCCTCCACCTCACCCCATTTTTTCTGTTTGACAATTTTAATGACATTTTCCAATTTGTTGTAATTTTAAAAAATCATGTCTTACTCCTTATTCTCCTTAAATTTATTTAATCTTGTCATCAAACTCTCTCATTATTAGTGGATAATTTTTATTTGGATTTGTTTTCTTTTTTATTTTCTCTTTCTTGTTCTTTTTCTCTTTCACTTTTCCACATTAATCTCCATTTTCCTCAGTTTTCTTTTCATTGGCATAATCTTGCTTCTTTATTTTCCTTTTTTCTGCCTCTTTCTTTTATGTCATCTATTTACTATTTCTACATTTCTCCTAAATAATTTTAAGTTCACAGGAAATTCCACTCTAGTTTTGCTATTTTTCAGCATTATGGCCACTATCTATGATTAATTAATTTTAAATATATTCCTATGCTTTTTATGATTTGAGTAGTTATAGGGTTGAGCTCTGAACAAAACCTCTCTAAATAAGAATATATGAATACATATATATATGTGTACTTAAGAATATATATATATATATATATATATATATATATGTGTGTGTGTGTGTGTGTGTGTGTGTGTGTGTGTGTGTGTGTAAATAGCATCACAAAAAAGGCAGCATGATGCTGGGGAAGCTATGAATGTGTTGCTCTGATTGATTGATAAATAAAACCCTGATTGGCCAGTAGCCAGGCAGGAAGTATAGTGTAGGCAGGATAAGTAGAGAGGAGAATTCTGGGAGGTGGAAGGCTGAGTCATGAGATGTTGCCAGCCTCTGCTGCCATGTGAAGAAAGTTGTAAGGCACCAATAAGCCACAAGCCACATGGCAATTTATAGATTAATAGAAATGGGTTGATTTAAGATATAAGAACTAGATAACAAGAAGCCTGAGCCATTAGGCCAAACAGTTTAAATGATATAAGCGTCTGTGTGTTTATTTGGGTCTGAGTGGCTGTGAGTCTGAGTGGGACTGGAGATAACTCTGGTTACAACATGACTGTACCAAAACATGAATCTTTATTTGATGGGCTCAAAGATGCTGAAGTAGGTAAAATGTCAGATGAAGGCAATTAACAAAGGTCAACTTCCCTTCTTCATAAATGAAATTTGGAAGAGAAGGAAGTCACAGGCTGGCAAGATGGTTCAATAGATTAAGGCACTTGCTACCATTACTGACAATCTGAGTTCAAGCAAGAGAATTCACATGGTGTAAGGAAAGAATTTTTTTAATGCTGACCTCTTATTGTCTTACGCATGTCTCAGCATAAGCATGAATGCACATACTATCCACCCTCAACAGTAATAAATAAAATAAATGTTTAAAAAAATTTTATGTAGGAGCATATCTCAATAAAGTCTGTATAAGTTAAACACAAAGTTAGTATTAAAGAGGGGAAAACCAAATTATTGACTCTAAAATAAAAAATAAGACAACCGTACCCAATCTCATTGTTCTTATTCAAAATAGAGCTCGCATCTTTGATCTAGTACTAATACAAAAGAAAGAGCAACAGGATTTCAATTAGGAAAGGAAGAAACAAACTGTCTTTCATTTTGGCCAACATGGTCATCCTTGAGACCCTCAAGATTCCACCAGATATGCAATATAAACAACAAGATCTCATGAGAAAACAATTAGGTCTGATAAAGTGTTAATCAAGTAACAGACTATAAAATATAGAACATACAAAAATTAGTAGCTTTTCTAGACAGCAATAACAAACTTGCAGAAAAAGAAATTTGGGAGATGGATGGGGTGGCACATGCTTTTAATCCCAGCACTGGGGAGGCAGAAGCAGGTGGATCTCTGGGAGTACCAGCACAGCCAGGGCTGTTATACAGAGAAACCCTGTCTTGAAAAAATAGAAAGAAAGAAAGAAGACGGCATTGGAGGAAAATTTCTTTCACAACACTTTCTCATTGAAAACATGATTCTTTCATTTTATTTAATTCTTTACTAGGAGGACATGAGCATGTGGTGGTGGTGGTAGTGGTGGTGGTGGTGGTGGGTGTCCAGTGTGTGTGTCTCAGAGAAGCATTTGAAGGAGTTTGTTCTCTCCTTCCACCATGTAGGAATCAGATAATCAGGTAAGTGGCAGATGCTTTTATCCATTGAGTCACCACAATAATGAAACAACAACCAAACCCTTGAAAAGAACAAACCACGCATGCAAAAGTGGAAAGATTCCTACAGTGAAAATTTAAGACACTGAAAATAGATAGCAGAGAATCACGAGAAGGCAGAATGACCACCCATGCTCATGGATTAGCAGAAATAATACTGTGAAATTGCTATATTATAAAGCATGAGCTAAGAGGTTTAACAACATACACCATCAAAATTCAATGTCATTCTTCACAGAACTAGAAAAAAATAATCCTAAATTCCATATAAAATCACAGAAACCATCAAGTGGCGAAAATATAGGTATGCATATAAATTATAAATGTCATAATAAAATTTGTGATTTTATGTACTATTTTTTTTATCTGAAGTCATTTAGATAAGTGGGGGATTTTTTTTTTCAGTATTTGCTTCAGTGATATTACTGTTACAATGTTAGTCTCATTATATTTAAATAGGGAAAGACTTATTTCTATAATAAGATAAATGGATCATTTAATGTTCAACATATGAATTTGATATAACCCCTTTCTCCATTTCAGTGTTCTTTAAGTATTTCTTCTTTTCCTTTAGAATGCCTCATGCTGCTTTCTGTAGTGGTTGAAGAAGTAGCAGAGTGGGTTTTTTTCATATCATATATGGAGTGCTAACAATAGGGGAAAGATGTGTATCAAAGAAAAATTCCTATTGAGAACCCATGAGTCTTTGCTTTCTTCCTAATTTTCCATTCACCATTGTTCCCCAGGTATAATGACACTTTTATTGTCTGCAAGTGCAAGACGGTGAGAGTTATGCTGCTGTTCATTTTAGAGCAAGAAAATGAAACCATGCAGGTTTGCATGAGATGCGTTCGAGGACAAGCTTCACACGGCCACTCTCCCCTTTATTCTTCTTGACACCAATTTATTTCACGACACAGTGATTTCTTGCAAATTGTTTTGCTGGATTATGCAGAGAATTTTGAAGAAACTGGGAATGCAACTTTGTGTGACATGAATTTTGCCAGTGTTTGCTCTTTATTCAAATCTCATCTTATAGGTACATTGTTCTATAATCTAGCCAAGGTACTTGTAAAATGGAAACTGGAATTTCACCTTTCTCTCAAATTTTTTTTTTGTTATTTTATTACACTCACAAACAACCAGATGTGATTCATTCTTCCAAGATTAGTTCGGAATATTCAACACGTGTTTTCCTGCACAATCTAGGTTCAATGATCTCCAGTCTCCCTATGTGGTCTAAAACATAAAGATCTGAACTTAATTGTCTACTGCTTTGAAATTTTTTGAATAATCACTACAAGGAGCTATTTCAGTCATTTTGCATTAATAAGAATATAGGTTAGCTTGGATTTTTTTAAAAGTTCTTTTCTTTTCTTTTTTTTTCAGAGCTGAGGACCAAACCGAGGGCCTTGCACTTGCTAGGCAAGTACTCTATCACTGAGCTAAACACCAACCCCAGGTTAGCTTGGATTTTTAAAATTCATTATATTATTATTATTATTAAGTATTATTATTGTTATTTTGATGGTTGACCTAGAAATTGAACCTAGGTTTCATGAATACTAGACAAGCACTCCACCTCTGTGTCACCACAGCTCTTTGAAGACATCAGCTTCAAGCCCCACCACAGTGGTGTGCACAAATACAGTGAAGACACTGAGTAAGATGATACTCTCTTAGCAAAGCCCACATTTGTGCTTTCATGTTTCTTAACGCTCTAAGTGCCTTGCCCTTTCTTTTAAGAATCTTGTTTAAAAATCTATATTTAAGAAGGTCTTTGGGGGCTTGGTAGATGACTCAAGGGGAATAATTCTTAAACTGCAACCATGAGGACCAGAGTTCAAATCCCCAAGTAGTCATAGCTTCCTGGCCTGTATCCTAAGAATTGGAGGAAGAGGGTTGACACAAGTAGACCTCTGGAGCTTGGAGACTAGTCAGCCTAGTCCAGATGGTGAATGTTTGCTTCAGTGGGAGACACTTTCTCAAAGGTTGGGGAGCAGTAGAGGATCACAGCTAACTTTTTCTTCTGGCCTTTGAATGAGTATGCATGGATGTATACACACAAAACCTTGTACATGCACAATACATATATTTACAGCACAACAGCGTGTATCACAGATGCACACAACGTGTTTTAATGAAATACTCACTGATACTGAACAGATTCACTAGTCCCGTCCTTCCCCGAGCATATAAAATTGTATGGATTGATGAGAGACACTGTTAGATAACAAAGAGCTGCTTAGAAAATGCAGAGACCTGCTGAGCTGTCTGAAAGGGGCTCAGACCAACTAAGTTACCTGGAAATGGCGCTGTCCAGCCTCCTGACTGGCTGCAGTCTGTGCATAGCACTCCAGGTCCCCAGCTTTCATGGGCTATCATCCATGCTGGGATGGACTCTGGTGATGGAGTTGATGTGGAGTAATTGCCATCCTGAAAGTATCCCCTCACCCACATCCTGTCAGTAGTAACTCCAATAAAATGTTTCAATAATATGGTTCGCCTTGGTGGTATTCTTACTTCCTCTTGTCATAAGTTCCCTCTCTGAGTTGAATCGATGTTTCCCCATGAATAGTACCTCCCAATGACTACCAGTATTTCTACTTAAACATGCTACTGTTTAGTGCTCTCTAGGCTTACTGCAGTCCATCCTTCTAAAGATTTTATCCATAAAATAGCATTCTATATTTTATGCAGTCTCATACTTTATACATATATACTTAATCTCAATAATGTGATCTCCTTAAAATAGTATTAAGTGTCCTTAATGACTTTTTCTTAATTGATTACATTTAGAAAGCTTTAAATAAGAGAAGAAATGTCTAACCTCAGAAAGGATATCATTACATAAATTCTAATTTGTTTCAAGTTTAGAATGAAAGCACACATTCCAATTTATTCTTTTTTATTGAAACTTATTTATTTGTTCAACAATAAATAAAACATATAGAAGATTTTTATTAAATCAATATTTTAATAGTTATGGGATAAAATTTATAAATTTTGAACAAGAGCTAGATAAGGCAACTACAGTCAACTTAGAATTAGACATTACATTATAAAATCAAAATATCTACATCCTAGAGATGGAGATAAAAAATGAACAACAAAACCAACAATCCCCATAATGTCTTATTTCACAGCAAGACTACCTCTACCTGGTCAGCAGGGGATCTCTTTTATCTCACTTTTTAAATATTTTTTTTCTTTTACAAGTTGTTTGAATTTTCAAAGACACTTTCTAATCATAGCATGGATATGTAAGTATCTTTTCTAAAGCTGACTCTTACTCTCAAGTATGAATCAAAGAAAACAATGCATACAGACATATCTCTTTGCCTTCGAATGGGTGTGATTTTACAGAAAAGGCCTGCAATATTAGAGATAACCTTTTCCAGCTTTCTGTGTATCATTCGCAGCATAAGCCGGATAAAATGTTGCCAGAATAAGCCTCGAACTCACAGGTCTTGATAAAATGCATTCATCTTTTTTTTTTCTATAGGGGAATCCTCTAAGGGCCAGAAAACTCTCATGAAGTTGCTGTCCGGTGTAGGAGTTCCCGAGGTTAGAAAAACTGAAGACTGAAATACTGCAGGCCGGGGCCTGTCTTTGGAAAATAAAATGAATGTCTTCCTTCCTTCCTCCCTTCCTTCTTTCCTTTACTTTATCTTCCTTTATAATCAGTAATATGACAAATTCATTCAAAGACCTAACCTTGCAAATATGAAAAAACATGAAGGGCTACTCTTTAAAACACAAAGTCATAGGATTATTTCATTGATACATATGTAAAATGTTATTATTGGTAATTATTTTTGTTTTCATATAGCTTTAAGTATATAGATAAATATATTTTTAGTTGTACAAATATTTATTTGTGTGTTGTTTGTTTGTTGACAGAGTCTCCTATAACTCAGTATAGCCTTGAGGCTACTAGGCAGCTGAGGCTGGTCTTGAACTCTTGATCTTCTCACCTGTTCCTCCTTCCAATAATATGAATATTATTAAATATGAAAATAAATAACCAGTATGTGTCACATTTTGGGGCTTGTTATCACATTTTTATACAGACAACACACAAAGTGGATGATTTAAGAAATGCAATATTATCTTTCATAGTAATTCGGTTCACATATTATCAGCTGCAAACCTCACAATATTTTTATTATATATGGACGCAGGAAGCCAATATTTAAAAGCCCCTTTCTTTTAAGTGACACAGGACAATAAGAAACTGTCCTGATATTGAAAAAATAATGAAAGAAGCCCTCCTGAAATGATCATGAAGCAAAAGCTTTCACAGAAGTGAGCAACACCCATGGGCATGGAAAAATATAACTTAATGGGCATAGTATTTCTACTCCCAGATCAAAATTTTCAGTCATAAAAAATCTAAGAGCTAATTTTATTTTTTCTGAAATATTTTTTTGCTGAAAATAATGAAAACACATTTGAACAGAAGTTTAGAACTCATAAACATCAGTAGAATGACATAATATGTACATTATCAGATTTCAGTTAACTGATTTAATTATTTCTCCTCCTTTCTGAATTTTGAAACTAGTGCTCTAATTATCAATATTTATTCATTAATAACTTTTCTAGAACTTTATATCCAGTATCTGAATCCTGCCTATTAACACAAGTTTCAACTCATGCTGTTTCTAAGTCAAGCTCAAAATAAATGTGAATTCTAAAATTGTGAACAAGCTAGGTATCATAATAGCTCATGACTTAAAAAAATAAATCCTGTTCTAACAATACTTATTTGTAACACAAATTTTAAGAGCATGCATGCTGTGTGTGAGGTCTTAAAGATATGGGTTCCTGGTATTACAGTAAAAGCAATATTATTATTATTATTATTATTATTTTTACTTTTAGATATTCAGAAGACTGTCAAACGCAGGTTTATAAACAGATAACCATAACACATTACCATAATGCTGCTCCAGAGAGGTGTATATGTGTGAAGATGATTGAATGATTAGTCAATTTACCAGTGAAGGAAATAAAGCAGACTTTATGAATGACTAAAATATCACTAATTAAATTAAAGTGATTTGGCCACAGGAAAAATATACATAGACTATCTAACAGATATGATAATACTATGGGACTATTGGAATTTAGATTATCTGATATCGTTAAGTAAAGGGAAAACACAAAGATTATGTGTTTACAGAAAGCTGAAGCAAATAAGAACCAGATTGTGAATGTGATTTAACAAACAATAAAATGTAAAAGAAAAACCACCCACCTCCCCTACAAAGTTTTAGAAAGGTTTACTTTTGAAAAGACACAAGCCTTAGAAAGACCTACTAATGAAAATAAGAAAAATCCTCAAACATAGACAAAAGAATTTAGACAAAACTGCACCACTGCATGATGAAATTGAAAAGGGCAGCCCAAGGTTATTAGAAAACCAACTTTACTTTATGTACTTACATACAAGAACAACCAGCAGATGAAAGGCACATGTAAAGTTATGTAGAAATTAAAGGGAATTCTATAGAAATATTAGATTTGAGGAGATATAAAGAAGCAGTCGCTTCATATGGTTTGTATTCACCCTATGTAAAGCAGATAATAAATTCATGGACATCTTAGAATAGAAGATTCTAATAGTCCTCAAAGACTAGAAAGATTTAACTGCAGCATATTGGAAGTTGTTCCTCAGTTACAATGGTTAACAAGGTAGAAAGAGGAGGGTAGGGTCATAGAACAATGAAATAGGGCTAGAGGTACTGATAATTCCCAAGGCCAGTTTTCTCGGTAAAGGTATGCTGAATTGCAAAGACAAATTTGAATTTTATGATCACACCTTGGTCCTATGTCATTTAGCAACTTTGAGTGACTGGGACAGTGTTGAAGAATCAGGACAGACATCTGAGTCATTTACTACATTTAAAGAAAACCCAAAAGAAGCCTTCACTGATTTTTTTTTGGCAAAGATTATTTTCAGCTGTAAATAGAATAGTAACAGATCCATAAGTCAGACAAATATTGAGTCTTTGGATTTTTTGAACATGCTAATTCAGAATGTAAGAGGGTGATTATGCCTTTATAGGCAAAATCAGCACCAAAGATGAATGGATTAGAAATACAGCTGATATTTGAGCTCACATTTATCATGCTACTTTGATAGGAAAAGTAATTTCTAAAAACTTTAAGAAAAATTAAAATGTCAGTTGTTATAATTGTGATAAACAAGGTCATTTGAAAAGGGATTGTAGGCAAGGCACTCCTAGAAACGTTTTTTTTTTTTTTTTCTGGAGATAATCCAAACAGAAGGCCGTAGCTTTCTGGAATAAGCAGAAGGTGTGGCAAAGGCTTGCACTGGACTAATGAATGAAGATCATCAACAAGGAACAAGCAAGGTTACCCTTCACCATTGGGAAATGCCTTAGCATGTTCCTTTCAGACCCCAATATTAAGTTTGGTTCAATCATTCCCTGCCAGGATAGAGAAACTCATTTCCAAAGCAATTAAAAGACTTAATGCCTGTTGTTAAAAACCATACTGCTCTGGATGTGATCCAGGACAGAACAACTTCCATAGATAAAACAAAAATTTCACGGGAGACCAAAAGCAAGTATATTTGGCAAACTACTATAAGTGATCAGAGACCAAAATTAAAAGTACAAATAAATGGCATTGAAATTATGGGTTCATTGGTCACAGGAACAGATGTAACAGTAATTCCACCCAAACCTTGGCATCTAGATTGGCCTCTTCGGGAGGTAAATATTCAACTTCTAGGGAATAGAACTTTATCACAGATAATACAAAGTACAAGATACATTGGGTGTATAGGACCAGAACGACAAATAGGAAAATTAAAGTCATATGTGGCTGGCATAGAAATGAATTTATGGGGATGTGATTTGTTCCAGCAATGGAAAACATAGATTAACATTCCTCCAATCTCAGCAACAAGTCATAAAGAATGCTTCTGAGAGAAATACTAAAAGGTATTATCAAGAATAGTTAAAGACTGTTTAAATTGTACATAAGCAGGGCACAGCAGCTGTTGATCTTTCAAAGGTACCAACAGCCCCAACTTTAAAATGTTTGGCTGACAAACCTGTGTAGGTGGAACAATGGCCTTTGACATCAGAAAAATTACAGACACTAGAGCAGTTGGTACAGGATCAGCTAAATGTTCAACCCATTGAAGAATCCACCAGTCCACGGAATTCTTTTGTTTGTCATTAAAGAAGAAATCTGGAAAATGGTTACAGATCTGAGAACTATTAAAAAGGCGGTCCAGGCATAGGGCTTTTTACAGCTTGGGATTCCTTTGCCTTCTTTATTGCCAAAGGGATGGTCTACTATAGTGATTGATTCAAAAGACTGCTTTTATATTATACCTTTACAAGAGCAGGATAGAGAAAATTTGCCTTCATAGTGCCACTTACAGTAATTCTAAACCTGTTAGAAGATACCAGTGGAGGGTCTTGCCCCAAAGTATGTTAAACACCCCCACTTTGGGTGCCAATGTTGTTTTTCTGACAGCTTAGTGGTTGCACCTGAATCTACTGATATTTTAACTACCATCTGTCCATGCCCCACCACCCGGCAGTCAACACCCCACAGCTCAGACCATGGCCTGATGAGATTTCTGGTCACTTTGGCACTGGCTTGGCGGAGGCCACCAAATCTAAGTTTTAACTAAGTCTCTATTGTTCTGTTTACCAACAAAGACTCAGGAGTCAGGTGTTGGGGGAAAAACTGCTAGATCAGAGAAGCAGAAAAGCAACCAACTGAACTTCCTTTTTGGCCAGAAACCCAACAAGAGAAGCATATCTCCACTTATCCCAACCCCCCTGCCACCCCACTCCCGCAAAAAAGAGAATCTCTAAGACCCTCCCTACTCCTTCTTGTTCATCTCTCTATCCATATTTCTGGTTCTTCCATCCTCTCTATGGCTAATTCCTGTCAACTAGGTGTTGGCTCCACCTCCTAATTGAAGGCTAATTCTATTAACATAGTCTTGGAGTTTCACAGCATGACCAAATATCCTGCAAAATACTGCTGTTGTTTTGGTAATTGTACACACTGTCAAGCTGCCTTCTGAATGTGTGTGATTACAGTAGTAGATTGGTGATGCTCTCAGTTTTGATCAGATGCCTCATTTGTAATGGGCAATAGTTAATGGAGAGACTCATAAGGGGTAGAATGTTGAGAAGAGCAACTGATGAGTGTTCAGTCCTCATAGGCATAGCTATACTTCCCATGCCAGGGGTTAGAGAACATCACTAAAGGAAGGCCAGAAAGAATATAAGAACTGAGGAGAGGAAGGAATGATGACAATTGTTGTCTTCTGGACATGATGTTGTCCCAGAACTTACTGGACTTACAAGCCCAGAGTAGCTATGGTACCCGCATGGGTCCAGCACAAGATTAAGACAGCTAACACTCTAGCGTAGGTGGAGGGGAGCCCATGAAGCCACATCCTAAATCAAGGAGCCACTGACAGCTAATGGTGGACAAAGATGTCATTTTTCTTCCGAGATGCAGCTCTTCATAAATTGTCCATGATGAAGTCAATAACCCCACATCCATGTACATTCAAGGAAACATAATTTAACATTATGGATTGGTTTAAAAAAATAAATAGATGAAAGTAAGAGGAAGACAAGTTGAGAGGGGTTCCAGAAGGGGGAAGAGGGGAATGGCTGTTCACCTGATCAAATTACATTATATACATCTACAAAATGGCCAAAGAATAGATTAAA